ATTGCTTTCAGTAATCTATATATGGTAAAAATTACTTGTTCTTTAGAATAAGAAGTTAGACAAGCATGATAGGATACAGATTTCAGCTCGTGCAGTTTACATGTTTTCATATGTTTACATGTTAAGTAGATGACAATTGACTTTAGATTTACATTGGCATCAGTAATTTCAAATTTTTATTGCTCTACGGTTGCATTATTACAAGTAAAATGATTTCATTTATAACTGTTCATAGTTAATTAGAAAAATCTAGATTTTTGCAAATATGTAAACAATAGACAAATATACTTATTTTTTATGTTATGTGACTTGTTAAATCATGGGCATGGACGTAAGCATGAGTAAATATTTTAGGCCTTCCTGTAAGCTGGCGGTCAATTATAAGGAACTTGAGTTTTTAGAACTCATCATCCATCGTGTTCCAAATTTTTCCCTTAAGATATAGGGTATCGAATTTCAGAATTTCCAGATTGACAATATCCTAATTAATGCCATTATTTTCCATACCAAAGGTGTTTGGAGTAGATTGATGGCTGGCTGTTTGACGCCTTGACTTGGTCTGAATAATCAACATATTGGCATGTAGAATGTTCTACAATCTCCAAAGAGGGGTGTAAACAGCTAATGTCAAGTGTTCCATTGTGGACTACAGGAGAATAGCATGCAAGCCCTATTTCATTGTTTGAAAAGGTAAACTGGAAGGAGTTCGATGAGTGGGGAACCAACAAAGGCCGTTTGACACCACAATTGGGTGCGATATTTTCATCCTTATTCAATGTGATATTTTATTTCTTAATATGTCCCTGCAAGATGGGGGCATGTTTGAGCAAACTAATTATGAAATTCGCGTGTTCATTTTTCGTTGGAATTTAATGGGCTCTGATATTATATTAAGAGAAGTAGGACAAAGCACTGCTAGTGAGCTAGGAGGTCGTTAATCGTCGTGTGGCTAACTCATATGGTTAGCTAGAAATAGTGATGAGACTAGATACACCACTAGAATTTGTTTGAAACTTTCATTTTGATTTAAACAATCGTTCCATGATTTGTATGAGCATTAAACATTAATTAAACTTAATCTTAAACTATCATCAATTTCCAATTTTCATAAATCATAATCATCAGAATTAACATACTAAATTACCAATCAAATTAAAGCATAAAAATGGGGGAAAAATTGAATAGAAGCGCTGGCAAATGTTCGATTGACAGTCGATGGTCACAGACACAAATGTTCACAAAAAAAAAAAAAAAAAAAAAAGGGGGGTTATGAAATTCGCGTGTTCATTTTTCGTTGGAATTTAATGGGCTCTGATATTATATTAAGAGAAGTAGGACAAAGCACTGCTAGTGAGCTAGGAGGTCGTTAATCGTCGTGTGGCTAACTCATATGGTTAGCTAGAAATAGTGATGAGACTAGATACACCACTAGAATTTGTTTGAAACTTTCATTTTGATTTAAACAATCGTTCCATGATTTGTATGAGCATTAAACATTAATTAAACTTAATCTTAAACTATCATCAATTTCCAATTTTCATAAATCATAATCATCAGAATTAACATACTAAATTACCAATCAAATTAAAGCATAAAAATGGGGGAAAAATTGAATAGAAGCGCTGGCAAATGTTCGATTGACAGTCGATGGTCACAGACACAAATGTTCACAAAAAAAAAAAAAAAAAAAAATAGAGGTGCTCATATCAGCAGTTGGTGGCATTATGGCAATCGACGGTCAGTCACATTCATGGCGCATAAAGGGTTTGGAATTTGGAAATGATAACATATCGTGATTCATTCTAGCTTCTGATAATTTGATGGTTAAAGAATTGGAATAGGTGAATGACGTTTAAATAAGAAAAAAATGGTGGCCCAAAAAAAAAGCCCAGTAGGTCCAACCAAATAATTCATCCCGTCTTCTTCACGCTTGCCCCTGGATTCGAGTCTCCTGCCTATTCACTTTCTTCTACAGATGCCGGCCGCCATGGATGGAACTCAAGGTTCCGACGGAGCCAGCAGGGGCGGCCTTGTCAGCTTGCCTGGTGCTGACTCCGTCCCTGCCTTCAGTTACTTGAACACTATACACATGTATATCCCCAACATTTGATAAAGTTAGTTTGCACTTTGCATTTTAATTATGCTCATGAAATCAAAAGGCATTCAAATCAGACCAACTCTATGCAATGTGGGATTTTATCCCTTGACAGAAAGTGGCGCAATGGTGCAAATTGGTTGGCTTCATGTCTTCGACTGATCATATTTGTCTAGATATTATGATCTATTTAGTTAGGTCTGTTGTGGCTCTTGCTGCTTCGTCTCTCGTCAAGCGAACAAAGTATCCTACAATCTGGCTGCATTTGCTTCTTTAGCCCCAGTGATTGATCTCTACGTTGATTGTACTCCTGCTTTCATTGCGCCATTTGTTAGCACTGATTTATGATATATTTTCTTTTAATTGCAAAAGATAAAAATAAACTTTTTTTACTCAGGTCTATGCACCATTTGGGGTCTCGCTTCTTCGATCCATCTGATGTGGGATACCCATCACAATCTTAAATTAAGTTGGTAACCTCATCCTTTCACTTTTGGAAGACGCCTTGCAATTTTACTGGCCATGCAAATTGCTTATGATGTTCTATTTGTGTTCAGTTCGTATTAAATATTTTGAAATATTTGAAATATATAATTTAGAATACCTAAGGATTCGACTAAATTTTTTCTTCTTTTTCAATTTATCGTGACATGCAACAAATGGTGGGTAAATACTAAATAATGAATTATTAAAAATGCAAGACAACTCAATTTGAAGAACTCGGCAAAATAGTTCTCATGTTCTCCCCAATTTCAAGATATTGAGTCCATCGAAATTTGAGAAAAAATAAATGTTGAGTAATTGCCAGAAATGCACTTTCCTCGTAGCATTATAAGATCGCACAAATGGACTGGAAATCGATGAATAGGACTAGGTTTCAAAAGTAGAGTACATGGAATTAAACCTAATCTACTTGGATCGAGAAGCCAGTTTGTATTGCCTAGATCGATTGTATCACAAATTGTAACATAGCATCAAAAGTGAAAAACAATCATCAAGAATAAAACTTTTAGCATTCTAAAAACTGGAATGAAAATAGAGTCACCAAGTTTTGGAATATTGTTGAAACAAGGTAATGTAATAATTATTTTATCTTTGAAACAGTGCTAGAATGATCACATTACATGTAACACTTGATTTTCATATTTTCTTAAGTTTGGAAGGTAAAGATGTAAAAACATAAATTAGACAAAAAAGTCGAAAGCAAATAAATTTCATCTCACACATGGGAATGTCGGGAAAATACACTAGTAGAGAAATAAATTAAAGAAAATTACAAGGCAAAATCTACTAGGAAAAAAATGATAATCGAATAATTGGTAAAAATAGTTTAGTTTTTTTTTGTTTTTTATAACTTGACTTACATTAGTAGAACCATGGTTCATATTACTCTCAAATCTATAGATGGTCACATCAAACTCATCATTACCATAATCCTGTTGTTTTTCACGATTTTGAAAAGTTGAACTTTCAACATTTTTGCCACAATAATATACCTTAATCTTCTGTAGTGTCGGTATATTGCTAAATTCAACAGGAATCAGCTCCAAATAATTGCAATATTTCAACACCAATCGTTCAAGTTCAAGTACAGGAAAATGATCGTATGAGGAATTCCATTGTTCAAGACACAGGCGATCTAACTAAAGGAATTTGAGTTTTTGGAACTCATCCTCCATTTTGTTCCAAATTTCTCCTTCAAAAGCATTATCTTGTAATTTCAGACTCTCTAGGTTAGGTAATGTCCCAATTGTGTCATCTTTTCCCAAGGCAAAACTGAATTTAGAAAGACTGAGCTTTTTGATATTACTGAAAGTTAACCACTGAGTAATCACCTTTGAATCTATGCTCATAGTCCATTATGAGTGATTCAAGCTGAGTAAGAAAGTTGAATTCTGGACAGAAATTGTCAGGACATTTGTATTTAAGTGTTGGAAAATCTGGTGAGCATCTCAAAAATTTCTTCATCTTCCCAATCGTTTATATAAATGTAACTAAGGGTTTGTAGGCTATTTATTTGGGAGGTATGACATTTCTTAGAGAATCTTGCGGGATGAAACATTATTCCAACATAAAGGTGTCTCAGCTTAGGCATACGAAGAAGGTATTTTCGTATATCACATTGAAATCTGATAAAAGAAATTCTAGGTTCTGAAGTCTCCTTTATTGATGGATAGAATGAATAAATTTCTAGGTATCTCAAATCAGGCATAATTTTGATTCCCAGTCCATCGTACATAGAATCGAAGATCCTAATTTTTTCTGAATTGTAAAGAATGGGTAAGGCCTCAGAGGGTTGATGAGACCGATCCATACACAGGCGATGGCAATGCTTAGATACCATGAATTGACTAAAGAAATAGAATAATAAGAATGTGGAGGATCATCATCAGTTTAACCACATCAAGAAGCATCATCAACAGCAATAGCAACAGCAACAAAAACTTCATTGAGATAATTACCACAAATTAGTAGGCTGAATTGTAAAAGAAAAATTAAAACGAGTAGGAATTAGAAAGAGATTGTGTTAACTTAGTGTCGAAATAGAAATATTTCGTCTTCTACCTATTTCCCACACATATCTAGTACTAGATCGTGAAGAGTACATATTTTTACTCCATCATCAAACCTTTTTTTTTCCTGCAATTTGTAGCAGGATCCTGTCAATAAGCTCCGTTAGATACTCATCTGCTACTTGTGCTCCTTTTTCTCTATGAATCCTTCGACTATCCATAGTAATAATAGCTTCGGGACTAGAATTTGCTTGTGTTTCTGAAATGCACTAAGATAGAGGAAACATGGCTTCAAGTGATTTGGTAAATGCATGTAACTAAGTTTCAATGAGAGAATGTAGTCGTCAGCTTTTTGGGAAATATAAGAACTTAAACTTTTTGCAATATGTTGCCTAGAGTTTTTCATTCTTCTCCATATTTGAAAGAACTCCAGCTATCATGACGAGTGAAAGTGGGAGTCCATGACAAGTAATTGCAATTTTCTTTCCAATATCTTGCAGTTCTTGAGGGCAACGTTCTTTTCTGAAAACAACCAGCTCTAATAAATTTTTACTTTCACCTGGTGACAGGGGAGAAGGTTCAATGATAACATGGGAAATTTTTGACGCGACATTTTTCGGCCGACTGGTGAACAATACTCTGCTTCCATTTCTGTCCTCTGGAAATAACCTTTTCAAATCAACCCATGCTTTTGTATCCCATAGATCATCCATAACAATAAGGTACTGTCTACCCTTTAAATTTTTGTAAAGACGTTCGACCAACTTCTCTTCATCTTCCATTTCTGAAATTTTGTCTCCATTAATGTCACTTACGGAGCTAAAAATGTCAATCAATTGCTCTCTCTTTTTTTAAGTTTGAAAAACAAAACACCAAGAAACCTTATCAAAATGGCATGAAACATTGGAATGAATATTGAAATCATTGTATTTTTTTTTTTTTTTTTTTTTGGTTAAAAAATTCCGACCAAATTATATTTGACCACATCATGTGTATGTAAGCCATTATGTAAATGTAACATAACCAATCAAGGAATAGTTCCATTCTTACAGAAGTTAATTAGACATCAAACTCATATCTTGCTTTTTTTTTTTTTTGGCTAAATTTGTCTTGCCAAGTCCACCCATTCCAACGATGGGAATAATTTGGCGATCGTTACGTCCTCCAAGAAGCTTGCTTGCAATTTGTTTTCTCGTGTCCTCGAAGCCCACCATGTGAATTCTTTTATCTTGGGATGATGATACTTCACTTGGACTTTCCGCAACTTGTAGGCTTCCCATTCTACAATTTAGCTCCATTGAGACTGCAATGCAGTGATCTTTGATGTTTGCTCTTTGCTTGCACAATATCAATCCTTTCTAACAGAACAGAAATTGCTTGATCCATTTTGGTCATGATAACAAGGTCTCTGGTGAAAAAGAACGAATGCAAGAAAAGTCCAGCTCCATGAGATACAGCTTCAATTTCTTTGAACATTTGCCCTTGAAGTGTAATCTCAATCAGCTCTTTCTTTAATTCATATTCAATCTCCAAAGTATCAATCTTGTCTTGTTCTAGCTTTGATGCATCGCATGTATCAACTAGAAAAGTGAACAGAAATTTCAGCATTCTGTCCGGAAGGAGAAAGGGTTCCCTTCTTGCCTTTTGTACATTTTTTTTTTTTTTTCATTTCCATTTTTAATTTTTCTCCCGTGGCTGTTAACATAAATCGGTTTCATGTCCATATTTTGGTGTTACTTATCAGCTCCATTGTATCCAAATGCGGCAAAAAGAGAAGGTGATATGTTCATCATGTATGAACCAAATTGAAGACTAATACAATTGAGTGATATAGTTAAGCAAATCCATTGAAGACCAAATTAGTGTTTATCGAAACATGAAAGTACAAGGAATTCAGAGTGTACAAAATTTTGACATTTTTAATGGTCAATCTATGGGTTTCGTCCGAAAGGGACCTTGGCGAAAACGTTTGAAAGGTCTGGCACTTCATGTGCTAAAAATCAAAGATTTCAAACCCATCAATCACAACCTTCAAAAGTTCGTAACTCCAAGTGCAATTTATCCCACTTTTTAATCTGCAATAATTGGTATATCAATCATTTAGCTATCAACCCTCTTGACATCATTACAAGAAACATTGTTGCTGCGTCAAGGGTTCGAATCCTGAAATATGGATTTGGCTCTTGGGTAAGTGCAAGTGTATAGCAGCCTTCCACCCTGTACCCTTGAAGGCATAATCTGCGATTTACCTCCCTCACGGTACTCCAGTGCAATGGTGGTGGGAGACCCTTAAGGTTAGGGTTTAACCTTTAAGAAACCACCAAATAAAAGAAAGTGGCACAACTAGCTAGAGGGACGACTCCAATGCCTATGCACCAATCTTTGGAGTAGGAAATGAGAAAAGCATGTCTTTCTCAAGATTCTTTTATTGAATTTTAGACCTCCTTTCACACAAGGTGTTGAAAATTTTGCTATAGACGAAGCATTTATTTTACCGAAAAACCATTGTTTGGGAGAGTGCATAAAGTCGTTCCATTTTTTTTTTTTTAATAATAATAATAATAATAAGATAAAGGGAAAAGGCACTTGAACAACATCAGCACCCTCCTAAAATAAAAGGTTATATTGTCAATATATGACATCATATATTAAAAAGCATGTTTGAGTCCCTTTTTCTATTCAAAATACATTTGGTAATAGTGTTTTATAGAGATTGTGTAGTTAAAAAAACGAAAATTTTGAATTCCAGTGTAATATTATTTTATTGAATAATATATAATTAAAAATAAGAGAGAGAAAATTTTATTTTAAAAATAATGGGGACCAAATTAGCTGTAAATGTTTTAAGGTATCACTCTCCAATAACATTCATAGTAAAAAAAATTGCCAATGACAAATATCGACGGTAAATAGACAGCATAAGTAAATATGTTTACTTCATAACGTAATACAAATTCAATCATAGGAAAGTAAGTTGTTCGACAATTAATAGAACAATGGGTTTGTTTGCAATGTTGGCCGATCCTATAGATATAGATGTCGAATATAACATAAAAGAATATGAAGGCATCGTAATAAAGTAACATCAAGAGGATGTAACAAGATGTCATCCATAGCTGTCTGAAAAATGAACTAAAAAATATAGAGAATATTACATAAAACATTCGATCACAAATGAAAACTTTGAACACAAAAAATAATGGATTTATAATTGAGTGAGTTTTAGTTAAACTCATTTTTTTTATTTTTTATTTTTTATTGTGGGTGTTCGAATCAATTTACGCACACCTCGACTAATTTCACGAGACTCTGAAGTTTACTGTCGAGTATTTACCTCAATAGCTCTAAGAGGACTCGAACTGATAACCATTGGAGAACAAATTCAATGCGTGACCAGAGTTTTGGTTAAACTCAAGGAATTTTATGAAATTAATTGGTAGAAGATTACGAGAAAAACAATTGGGTATGAGAGTGAGTGTGAACTGAAAGACTGAAGTTTTCAAATCACCGTGAATTGCTCCATCTATTAAGGAATGACAAAATTTGGTCCCTGAAACATATTATCTAGGAAATAAAATATATTTTATAGTTACATTAAATATAAGGGCAATTATATTTAGATGAATCACAATTTTTATTAATTGCACCACATTTTAATTACATGAAGATCTCAAATTTTGCTAATTTTCACAATTATGTCATCAACTTTTTCATTGTATTTTTATCTTTGACTTTCTATTAATTCGGATGTCTTATCCTCCAAGACAGCCAAAAAACCTGCTAGGTGGGATAATTTGCCAATCATATTTTTAAATAAGATAAACAACTAAGACAAAAATTCAACAAAATTTTTTCATATTTTTTAACAATAATTTTGGATTGAAACCTTCATTAAAGATAATATGTCCTAATTAAATGAACGTTAGAATAAGAATGAGACGAAAAATGTCGTGGACAAAAGTGCAAAATCGGCAAAAATGGGACCTTTATTGCAATTAAAATTTATTGTAGTTATTTTATCCAGTATATTTCAAAATCTTGTTAAAAATAAATAAATAAAACGAAGGACTTTTCACTTTTAAATATTCATTTTGGTTCTCCAACCTCGTGACATGCTAAAATTAGTTAAAATAAAATCTAAAATTAGCAAAGTTTTGCTAAAAAAATGTTAGAGAAACCATCTTTTTCTTAATCATTAACACATAACTGAAAATTTCACGCATTGAGCTCTATTCTATTTTAGATAAGCTCAAAAAAACAAATTATATGTATGTCAAGTTCAGCCCTCGGAGCATAGCCTAATGATGCAAAGGACAGGAGTGAGATTATCTCACGCCTTGTTGGCAATCGCAGTGTGAGGGTTTGATTTCTAAGACATGGAATTGGACTCCTTGTAGGCGCAGTGTATAGACAGCTCTTATTCCTTAGCCTGTTAGAGCACATCTCGCGATTTATCTCCCTCACAAAACTGTAGGAACGGGACGGTGAGACCCTCAATATTGGGGTTCAACCTTTATGTATGCCAAGTTCAAAGAAACTTTCTTGTTTGTCTAATCAAAATCAAACGCACCAATTCTATGCTAGTTTTGCAGCCATTGTCACTATCCGTTGAAAACAGAGAGAAATGGGCCTATCACTTTCGTACTTCAAAAGCTTTTTTAATTTAAAATAACTGGCAGATCAATCACTTGGATATCAACCCTCTTCGTATGATCTCAAGGAGCCATAAAATAGAAGAAAGTAACACAGCTAGAAGGACAAGTCCAAGGTCTATCCACTTAAATCTTTGAAGTTTATGACACAAATCTCACCTGTAAATTTAGAAAGATTTTCACTATTTTTGTAGAGAAAGACGGAAAACTTAGGCCGTGGTTAATTTGCCGTTTTCTGCCCATTTTTCGTTTTCCGTTTTCAAAAATGCGGAAAACGCATTTGTTTCGTCGTTTTCGAAAACGAGTTAAAATTTATAACTGAAAATACAAAACGATTTTTTATCGTTTTCGGCGTTTTCAGTTATAAATGTCGAAAACTCTTCAAACGCGGAAAACGGGTCGTTTTCAGGAAAACTAAAAATCATTTTGAAAATGAAAATGGAAAACGAAAGTGCAAACTAACCACTACCCTAGTGTGTGTTTATGCCACATTATTTTTAAACAATGTATTTTGAAATAGTAGATTAATGAAAAATGTATGGTTAAAAAAAAGAAAAGTTTTGAATTTATATATAATATTATTTTATTAAAGACATGTGGTTAAAATGATGTCAAATTATTATTTAAAAAAATATATTTTTTTTCAAATAATACGGCTCAAATAGGGCCTTAATCAACTATAAAATTCTTAACAATCCCGAGTTTGGTTTTTGGAGAACAAACTTATAGGGTTAAATTGCAAAACGTCTGAAGACTCGTTAACCGTCCCTCTTTCAACATGACCCGAGGCTGAGTCTATTATCATGTTTAGTCGAGTCTATTATTACGTACCAAAGTTATCTGAAAGGACAACACAGAGAGTATTCAAACTTTCAAAACAACTTGTGTTAATCATTATACATACACTGACGGCAAAGCCACATGCTGATTTCTATGCCACAAATACCAGAGGCTTTAATACACCATAGAAGTGGTCCAACTCTACTTTCAGGTCATTGCCATAGAAGAGGGGAGGGAATAATGAAAAAAATCTTCAACAAAACATAGGGATTTCTTGTTCCATTGATCATTGCAATTTTTCGAGTTAAAAACGCTGCGCTAGATAGCGAACTTACAGTGTCATTTTAAAATTAGTCTTTGAGCTTCCGTTTTAGCTCCGTAGCCCTTTACCAGACTCCCCTACGTACTAGGAGACTGAAGTAACCCAGGCGGGCCTTCAAAAACAGTTCAATGACCAAAATGAGACGATGCTATAAATTGGATGACTGTCTTTCCCAGAAAATATAGCAGATTCTTAGGCATAATTTTAGAGAGGCGATTTTTAGCAAGAATTTCTTCACTTTTAGCTGACGAACTAACAAAAATCACACATAACAGTATAATCACTTTTAAGAAAAGAGACATTCCAAAAGGTGTACCAAAATGAAGTCTCTAATCCATAGAAGATAAGAAGTAATAAAGTAACAAGGGAGTCAAATCTTTCTGTCCAAGAGAATAGACAGGCTTCAAAAAGAAGCAGGATTTTATTCACAATGGCTATATTTACACTGAACAGTCGTTACATATCGAAGCTTAACTTTGATAACATCAAGAATTACATATTGCAATGCTGAGCTGAAACAATTATGTGTCTTCCTCTCGATTTTCACAAAATCAAAGTATTTACTCTTTTGGATAACTGAAAGAGGTACTTGTCAATGTAGACAAATATTGATCTCGACTCAGCAGCTTGTACTTTAGAATTTGACGGTAAATAGTAGTAGCTTCAATAATTGTTGTAAGAGGAAAGCCATTGCTCCATGAACTTCTTTCCCTCTGAACAAAACCAGAATGAAAGCAGAAAAAGATTTCCATCACCATTTCTTCTGCTTAAATTATAGACAGGAAAGGCAGTTTATATATATCAACTGAGAGACAAATTAATTATTCTCACATTACGTCCATCAAATACCATTCACAAAGCCTTGTCCTTAATTAATTTAAAGGTAGCCATATGAATCCTTTATTGCCATGCCATTCAATTCATTGGTAGATCTACTCCAAGATCCAAAACAACTATATCTTTAGCAATCACGACAAACTATGTAAGCTCTATCTAGTCAACCCCTCACATTCACAAAGACTATAATAAAACAAAGTTCTTTGGGATGAAGAATATGACCTAACATTATGCCTGGTATCAAGTTTCATCACAACCAGGAAAGAAAAAGGTAAATATACAATAATATAAACAAGCCAACACAATTTTCTCAACATCATGCAAACTGAAAGTTTTCTTGTAATAATACATGACATGTGGAAAATGCTTATGCCTGGTTAGTACATATCCATAGGCCTATGCCTTCTATAAAGCACCAAATATACAGAAACCAAGGATAAGAGATCCATGAACTAAAAGACCTATTAGTCTTTTAAGTCTGTAATGGTAAAGATTTAATTTTTCGATGTCTTCAAGCACGGTATTATCAAATACCAATAAATCGAAGTGCGTCCACCAAAGACGATATGAGAAATCATATATTACGTACATATGCATTGTCTCGAAAAGTTTCAACCAAGCTTAACATCATCACTATATCACAATTCAAAGAGAAAAAAACATACTATAAATAGAAATCAATAACAACCCAAGTACAGCATCTAAAAATGATTGATGTTGCATATAATACTTATAAGTTTTATTCGATCCATGTTACCTAATGTGCCATAACAACATAAGGATATCGTCTAAAAATAGAGCAAACGTTACATATATAGCTCAATTCTTACTTAATACTAATAAGTATTATCCGATCCATGTTACTGAATGATCAAATACTGCACGTACAGCTTGATTCTTACCAGCAGAGCACTGATTCGGAAGGTTTCTAATTGCACTCAGGAATTGACTACCCATCCCCTCCTCGTCTACGCCCTCTAATTCTTCGCAATCATGTCTATAACAAGGGACTAACACAGCAAAACTGCCATCTGCCTCATCATCACTCTGGAAACCGGGGGCGTGTGGTTCCAGCCACCCGATGGACCAGTCTGAGTCGTCAGATTCAGACCCCGATAAACAAACGCCATCTGATGGCACCACCACCACATCATACTCCTTGTCAATCCTCCTCCTCTCCTCTCTACTTTTCCATTTCTTTTTCAGTTTTCTATTCGAACTCCAAGAGGGCATTCTACTATTAGTCCCCTTCACTGATGGAAACTTCAACCCTTCGGGCTCTCCTCTCAATCCTAAACCCCAATCAGACAAAGAATTTAACGAATTTACCGATGACCCATTGGAGACTTGCTCTTTCTCTTTCTCTGCCGACCACCACCATGAAAATCTAGTGAAAGAAAGAGCCATTTTCTCCCTGTTTTTATATTCTTTTTATTGAACAAAAGTCGATGATTGTAAACTGATAATTAAAATGGAAACGAAGCAGAATGAATTCAGATTCTAAGCCAATAAAGTATCAAAATCTTAAATACAACTAAACCGAAATACAAGAAAATGTTAGAAATTTAATAGTAATTTAGATTAATTAACTTCAACAAACATGTCTTAAACGAGGAAATTAACCCAACTACTCCAAAGAAGAAAAGACCATATGGATCTTAACAAAGAATACATTCAAATAATTAAGAAATTTAAATATTTTTTGGGTAAATTAAAAAAAAAAAAAAAACGTTTAAGACGATGTTATTAAGAAAACCCATTTCATCCCTCCACGAAAGATTGCAGTTTTCTGAAGTTTCGGGTAAAAACGGCGACACCACCGGAAAACCCGAAACTGTGGTTGGGGAAGTTGAAGAAACAAACGGCGATATCACCGGAAAAATCGAAATTCTCACCGAAAAAAGAGAACTTAGTATTAAAATTCAAAATAAAGAAGCTCAAGAACTCAAAAATCTAAAAAAAAAAATTAGTTATCTCTCGAAGAAATCCATATTTTTTCTTTTCAAATCCACACTTGAAGACGAACAGAAATCAAGAGATAAGATATCAAGTTATCAACTGAAAGTCTAGTGGCGTGCGGGTTATATATATATACACTTTGAAAGCTTGTTTTCTCTGTATAGATTGTAAGTAGTGTTTGGCCAAGCTTAAACGGTTTACATGAAATAATTAATTTATGTACAAGTAAAAAGAAAATTCTAGAATACATTAGTATATTATACAAGTTAAAAATTAATAATTAGATCAATAAATATTAAATACTAATTGTTTGAAAATAAATTAGACCAGAATTGATGATCTAGTTCAGTCCAATTATTTTATATTTGAAAATAAATTATTTGTTATCATTGGTATAGTTGGATTCGATCAAATACATTTTCACACCAGACATAATTTTATTTTTATTTTTATTTTTGTCTTGATCGGTTAATCATGACGATGAGAGATCAACAGCTCTTATTTTGAGATATTGCTATGGTAGTTCCATAGGATTTTCCTGCCTATCAAATTAGCTAAGAGATTGAGACGTGGATCTAGCTCTATATTGACTGTAGTGTGGACCGTTGGATTGGACAGCGATGAGGACGCATTTGATGATGTGGACCACTAAAAACCAATCATTGCATGTATTTTTTAATGGTTTTTTGACACGTGTAACCTAAGAAGCATGTCTCTTTGAATAAGTAATTTTATTGTTAAGCTTTTTACATTTTTTTCTTAGATAGAAACGAATGAAAGAGTTATTTGGTCGTTTGCAAACGAAAGTTAGCAAGTAGTCGTATAATTTCCATTTCTCCTTCTAAGGAAACTTACTTAATGTCATTTTCATAGTCAATAGTTGTAGGCGTGTGGGTCCTATAAGACAATTCTCATGCAGGCAATCTAACACCTTTGAAATTGACCATTCACTTGCTAATATTTTAATACAATGCAGTGATACCATATTGACATTAATGCCCCTAGCTACTAACACTGTCGATTGACGTGAACCATATGGTTATTCACCACTTGGGTTTTATTGCTTAATGTTGCAACCGACGTGAAATTATTTTTACGTCCATTTCATTGCATAAGGAGTATGTTATCGCCCATAAAATATATTAAAGCACACGCGGACTATTCGAATAATTTTTATTCATAACTGGTTCCATTATGCGTACTACCACCCAACTCGTTGCACTACTCAATGAACGATTTGCGCTATGTAATCCCGTAACTGGTGCCACATAACGTTGTCGTCCGAAACTGCATCTTCCTCTACTGCAACTTCGTCATCCGCATCGGGCAAGTCAATCTCCACGTCATCGTCGTCGACTTCCTCGACTCTGTGAAAGGCCTCATCGAGCTCCCCGTTTCAGCGTAATAAGTTATGGACTCCCATTGTTGCCACGACCATAGCCCTTTGCTTTCGAAACGAGTAGCTCGACATTCTATCAAGTATTTTCCATCTCTGCTTCCAAACTTCGAAAGTCCGCTCAATTACGTTACAAATGACAAGTGATGGAAGTTGAATCTTTCGCGTGCATTTCGAAATCGACGTCTCCCACCATTGTTACAGGGAAACTCCTGAAAATGATATTATACGTTCGAACCTTTGTATGGTGTCATATACCCCGGCCTATGTGCAAACCCGGAGTCAACAAGGTAATATTTCCCTACTGCCGGTTGGGAAAAGTGTATGTCCGGACTATGCACAGCTTGCGCCAGTATACGGCTATCGTGTGTGGTACCCGTGCTTCCGGGCAACAGGAACGTGAAACCCAAGTTAAAATTACATGCAGCCAACACGTTCTGTGTGGGCACTACTTTTCTTCCTATGAAGTCAATCCGTTTACATTGTGGGAGCACTACCCACACATGGGTCCTGTCAAAAGCTCCAATGCAATCCTGTGATATTGAACTCCACACTTTTCAGTGACTCATTAAGCTTGGACAAACAAAGTCATCAAAATACACGACGTCATACAACATACAAGTACTTGGAAAAATGGATATCGCTGCGGATCGGGGTTATGATGTGACGCGCCGTGGTTGTAGTTGTGGTGAGGTCGGATCATGTCAGCAGCCAGCGCACCAACGATACGAAGCACACGTTTGAATAATGGCCAATGGTCTGTAGCGAATGGCCAAACAATGTTTGGACCTGTAGATAACCCCTCACGTGCGCTATTATGCACAAAAACATACTAACCATTTCATATACATCAATGTTCGTATTGTTTTTCAAGCCATATTGTTCTCTAAGAACATGTGTAAACTGCCAGAACATGGGTGGGTACATCCTAAACTCCTGAAAGCAAGTTTGCGGATACACATGCATGTTCTGTAACATGAAGATGTGGCCACTTCGGGATGTAGGGAACAAGTAACGGTTGCCCCTATCCAACTGGAGGTATTGCTGCACCATCCGCTCAGCGATCCGATAGTATCGTAGCCACGTCCACATATCCGCCTCAAGCAGCTGAAGTACGTCATCGTCCGAACCATTATCCGAATCGGTATTGGGCATGAGGTCACAATCAGTATCGGACGACGATTGAGTACTTGACGTGTCCGTCATCCTGTCGTATTGCCAGCACAGGAACGAAAAAAATTGTTCGTAGAAATCATTGCGGATACGCACTTGTGACTTTTCTCGACGATGGGTACCGTCCCTGATGGCAATTACCAATTCTGATTTTATGCACATGTCTCCGAAACTTTATGCAATCAACTTGTACTGTAGTGTTTGGCCCCAATTATGCACTCCACTATCCACGCATGCAAGAGGGATGACAAAGGAAAATATTCCCTAAAAGGTGCAGGATATCTTGAAATTCCCAAAAGCTACTGCCAAGTTCTCACATAATACAACTTGCATGACAGCTATGTGCTAATAATGGAGTTACTGCAATTCATTATAGGTCTAATTTTCCCTACAATGTATCACATTCACTACAAAAGGTAAAGTTACAAAAAAATTCTCCATCTCAGTGCAACCTACTTTGGGTTTGTGTCATATCTAAATACAACACATAGAATGTGCCTGAACTAAATGATGTCCATTTTCTTTTACACGTAACAAATTGTCGTAATGTGATGGATGACAGTAATCTATTTTTGCGTTCGATCACATTCTTTCTTTGTCTTCCTTAAACATTTTTTCCATTTTTGGTAACTGTCCATATGTATGTCCGGGTAACTAAAAATATGGAGAAAAGGATTCGTAACTAGCAATCGCCTGCAACTGCTAGCAAACCATTATTACTGATGAAAAGAATTTTTATTTTAAATAAGCAATTTTTAATGGCAAGTGAAAAACTTTAATAATTAAATTGCAATGCAGATGCAAGATGTTATATGCAAATCTTTCGTACTGTAAGTGATGATTTGATTAGATTGTGAAGTGCCTCCAATTATGTATCACACTAGCCATGCATGCAAAAAGGGGCTAGTAACAGAAAAGATGCCCTGTAATAGTTGAAATTCTCCATACAAAGCCATTAACATATTTCAAATGAATGGAAAATAATGAACGTCTATTACTGGTATTAGCATATTCGAAATTGGTGGATTTGGAAATCTTGAGCACAACGGTTAGAAAGATGTATGTTACATTAACTTCACACGAAAACATGCATAAGCCATAGAAAATCGCGATAATATCGCGAACATGTACGTGGAAAGTTTCTGATTACTACAGGCCGTAAGTACGCTGACTAGACGATCTAACGATAAAATGGGCACATTCGTAAGACATCCCCATATGATTACCGACTCTCGAAACTCGACATCTTGTCTCGTTCGAAGCAATACGAGATCCACCGGAACCTCAGTTCAAGAGTCTTAGCTACACTGTACGCTACACGGTTGGTGAAATTCCTTAAGAACCACTGCACGAACATGTGCAGCTCATCCCCGGTGGTGACAAGGTCTGTCGAAAGCAAATCAACGATGCACTCATGGAGAGTCATTTGACCCTCTTCTTTCAAACGGATCACTGAGGCCATCTCTCGCGATGCACTGGCGAGGTTATTCGCCGACTCAGAAACCTCCCTAGCTCCAAACTTTTTCAGCTTCCCCTTTACATGTTTGCCCTTACGTTTCTCGTCGCTTCGACGATGAGAAATATTCATCGAAGAGTTCGTTCTTCCTTGTGTCGGTCTATTGCTGAAATCAGTAGTCTCGACGTTGATAGGTAACTTGTCATTCGGGTCATCTGTGTTAGTGGCGGAGGCCAACTTTAACCCATGTTGGGATAGCTTAGTGGGTGTGAGTGCATACTTCATGGAGTCGCAACGACCTTCGAATAGGCGGTTGTACGTGTGCTAAATTTCGTTGTTGACGTTGTCCTTGAACTTTTCGCACCGAGGGTTCTCCTGCATTATGACAAGGAAGCAGTATAACGAACGTGCGTAGTATGCAATCCAAAGGGGTTTTAGGACAAAGAACTGTATTGCATGTCATCGTTAATTTCGTACCTTTATTTTCTGCTTCCACCACTAGTCTAGTGCTTCTATTCTGCCCCCTTTGCTGAGACCGCATGCGATTCCCGTGCTCTGCAGCAGCTCGAACAGTAGTTTGTGTTCAGTGCGCATAGAGCCCCAATGGTTCTTAAGCTGGGTAATTGTCCAGTCCTTTCCGGCATTTTGGTTGAACAAGTTGCGTATGCGCTCCCAACCTGTTGACGAGAAGCACTTTCCTCGACGATGGCCCTTAGCAGTAACATGCTTAACGATAGCTATGAACATCTTTTGCTTAAGAGGTTCCCATCTAGCACACTTGCGAGCGTCGACCTTTTTTTGAGGTTGATACTTGAAGGCGTACCCTGAAAGGTGCCTGGATTCTGTTACGTGTAGGTCTGCAATGTAGCAAAACAGAGAAGTCAAAAGTTGTGATAAGATGAGGCAAGAAAGGATTCATGTTAGAAAGTAACGCAAATGGAATGCAGTCATGGTGATCGCATATGGTGACAACTGACATATGTTGCAGAATGCATGTGAAGTCCATTAACATCAACTTAATTATTATAAGCAAACAACTCAATTATTACAAGCAAACATTACAGCTATATGAATGGATTAGTTAAACAAATAGCATATGGTGACAACTGACATATGTTGCAGAATGCTTGTGAAATCCATTAGCATCAACTTATTTATTATGAGCAAACGGTACACATATATGAATGGATTAATTAAACAAATAGCGCAGAAGTCAGGAAGGCACAGTAAGGTGATCGATATTTAAATGAGGCAAGCTGCTTGCAATGTCAAAGCTGTAAGGTATTTCTATCGTATTTACGTTGCTTAAGAAAATGTTACTCATGTCACTTGGTACACTACTACGTCTCTATGGCAAGGGAAGATGGTCGTGAATGGTTTGTAACTACTACGTAAAGTCTATCCAAAATTACATGTTCGAGTTTTAAGATATGTGCAAACCCAACCTGTGAAGAGTAGAGGGTAGATGGAATTGTGATAAATGCTCAACGACGAAATGAAAAATACAATCGTGTTGGGAAACGTTGGTGACCAAATTGCACTCTGTTGTCGGAGTATTATGCTTTCCATTTTCAATTCAAATCACATAATGATAAGAAAATTCATAATAGACAGTTGTCATGGTCGAGTAAATTAGGACGACTCACACAGTTTGAACAACTATGGGTAGATTACAGTGGAACATCACAGTGTGCGTGTGAAAGCGGTGGCCGTCGACGGTCACTTATGTAAGGGGGATGCAGAGACAAAAGCTGGGAAAATATTAGATATTTGTGCTTACCATGTTGGCGGGATAGTAACCCCAGTCGCCAGCTTAGTTTGCCATTCTATTGTGCAGTAGTGGAGGCCCAGAGGGAAGACCGATTTTCCTTGTTGCCAGAGGACTTCAGTTGGAGGTGCCGGAGGTAGCGTTTGAAGAGGGGAAGGACTACGTATAGGGGGGCTGACACTGAATACGACTTGGCACGGGTTTGAATCTTGGAGACGGCCACCGAGGAAGATGACGATGAGGACATATTTGAATTTATGGGTGCAACCGTTTGTGTAAATTGAAGATGTGAGAAGGGAGATGGGGAAATTATTTTCAGGGGTAGGTAGCCAATGGAAATTATGGAAGGACAGTTATAACAAAAACAGGCCACTACATTAGGGTATTGTGGGGAACGAAATGTGAAAGTGTGGAGTTGCATAATTCCACTTTATCAGCAGGTGTCAGAAAGTGGCAGGTTTGAAGAGCTTCCTTTATTGACTGTGCCATTGGAAAATGTTGAAAAATGTATCAAAACGAAAATGAAACGAGGATCAAACGGGGGCTTATTTTAAATTTAAAACTGTGTTAAGTGTACAACAAGTGATACAACAATTTATACAATCCTCTTATGTAGATCAAGTGGAGTCCACAATTAAGATAATTACGGACCCACCCATGTGAGAGAAATGTAGCACTTGCTGTACAACAAGTGCTATACAAGCATCAAAACTCTTAATTTTATTGTTAAATTTTGTCTTTTTCAAGAGAATATAGTATGCAAGTATTCTTATGTCTACTACGAGCTTACAGTGGGCGTAGTCTAAAAAAATGTATTTTTAGGATTTTTTTTTTAATATATCAACTTAATTTCTTCTACATCTCTCAATTTAGATATTTAAATCACAATTTAGATATATTTTACACCGCAATTGGAAGTGCTCTTATAATTCATTTAAAGTATATGGACAAAATTGAATATGAAGATAAAAGGACATTAGTCGGAGTGAAACTGAACCAAAAGCCCTCTCTACATAGTTCTGTCATCCAAGTAACAACTTAACTCTAAGCTGACTTCAAAGTCAAGTGAGAATCAACTACTTTTTTTCCCGTTTTCCCATTCTACTTTCTCCTCTAGCTCGATTTTCGACACTGTTTCCATCAATCCCTAAAATGAAAAAGTGGATTCATATATGATCTAGATTATTTGAGGTTGATAAAGGGGGCTAAAAAGCATAGCATTCCCTTGGTAAGAAAATGGGACTTCTATTCAGTAGAACCATTGAACCATGTGAGCTAGTTAGATGCATGGGACAACAACGATTATTTTGGCATAGGTTTTGACTTTTCTAGAAAAGTATATTCTTTTGATTGAGAAGAAAAAACCAATGGAACAAAGTAGTTTATTTTTTTTTTTTATACTGATATGGTTTTGGTTTACGGAGGTTCAGTGAACGCTATATTGAATATCCATATCATTTTATTCTCTTCCTCTTTGGCTAATATGAGGTCTTGGTGTATTGGGACTACTCATATATTTCTACAGAATTTGGATAGTGAATGCAACACCATGAGATTGAATCTTACATAGGCTACTCCTTACTATGAATGAAAGAATACTCTTTATAATCTCCTGGACCGTTGCATTTCGATTTTATGTAATGTGTATAGAGCATGATATGGTACAAAAGGTTTGTCTCCCGTTAGAGTTAAGTAAAACTTTCTGTGTTCAATCACATGTTACACTTTGAGCAAGAGCTGAATACTAATTAGTCAAACAGAAACGAACAAAATCTTACGGCACTACCACTATATCTTTTCCTTTTCTTTTCTCCTTCTATGTCTAGTCCACTTATCTATTGAGATTTCATATCGATGAGGACACATTTGATGATGTGGGTCACTAAAAACCAATCGTTGCATTTGTTTTTTAATGGTTTTTTTAACACGTGTAACCCAGGAAGCATGTCTTTTTGAATAAGTAATTTTATTGTTAAGCTTTTTACATTTTTTCTTAGATAGAAACGAATAAAAGAGTTATTTGGTCGTTTGCATACGAAAGTTAGCAAATAGTCGTATAATCTCCATTCCTAATTTTGAGGAGACGATCTTATTTTATATTTAGAATTGTGCTAAGTGTACAATAATTTATACAATCCTCTGACATGGAGCTGGTGGAGTCTGGATTTAAAATAATCGTGAGCCCACCTATGTGAAAGGAATGTAGTACTTGTTGTTTAACAAGTGATATACAAGCATCAAAACTCTTAGGGCCCGTTGGGTAATAATTTGGAAAAATTGATTTTTTGACCGTTAAAGAGAAAAATAGGGTTACATGTGAGTGAAGAAGTAAAAAATGATGGTTGAAATAGTGAAATAACGTTCAAAAAATCATTTTTTTGGGTGAAAAATACTACCAAATGGGGTCTTAATTTTATTAACTTGTTAAATTTTGTCTTTTTCAAAGAGAGAATAGTATGCAAGTCTTCTTACGTCTACTACGAGTTTACAATGGGCATAGTCTATGACCATTTGATTTTTCATGACTAAAAAATGTATTTCTAGGATTTTTTTTTTTTTTTTTATATATCAACTCCGTATAATTTTTTTTCCACCTAGCTCTGCCCCTACTTAGAGCATCTTCATTGGTCATGTAAATTTGAACATGAATTAGTATTTCTAAAACAACTTTTGCATCTCTATTTATATTTCAATGAATCTAAATTCAAATTTTACTCTGATGAAAAAAATCTAAATCAACTTTTTACCTCTTGTGGGTGTAAAATTAATGCAAATTTACACCTTTTTTTTATATATATTTTAGTCAAAAATGTAATTTGCATTTCTTCTGCATTTCTCAATTGGAAAGATTTTTGGCCAATTTTGTTATTTAAATCAAAATTTAAATCTATTTTACACCACAATTGGAAGTGCTCTTATAATTCATTTAAGGTATATGGACAAAATTGAATAGGAAGATAAAAAGGACAATATTCAGAGTGAGATTGAATCAAAAGCCCTCTCTACGTAGTTCTATCATCTAGTGATGGCAATGGAGCGGGTTTAGGTTGGGGCGTCGGTTCAGGGCGGGGCGGGATGCCCCAACCCGTTTACTGCTCTCTTTTTTCCCCCTTCAAATTCACAATTTAAAAACGCAAATATCCAAATTAAATACTTGAAACAAAAAAATCCGAAAATAAACAATTACAAATACAATTACATTGTAACTAAATTTCACTTCTTTATCCAAAAATAAATTTGATATTTTTCCATTTTTATAATTTCATTCATCAGCAGGTTAGAAATTGTAGAAGATGGATCCTAGAAAACGAAAGAAATATTATACTTAATATCATCATAATAACTATGATTAAAATTTAATAAAATTACCTTCTCATCAACATCCTCATCATTCATCTTGGAGTAACTTTCAAAATATGTAGCGGCGTAGAATTCGCTGTTAATAAAATAAAATAATTAGTAATAAGAGAATTCATAAAAGAAACAATATAAAAAGCAAATGTTTATATACATCGTACCGTGAATATCGGCCCATAACCAATCTTGAGCACACATTAAAGCCTCCAAAATTTTGTGTTGAAGTTTATCTTTGTTTGGACTAACAAATCTACCACTAGTACTGAAGGCAGATTCAGATGCCCAATAGATACCGAGATTGCCAAAATATCTTTTGCAATTCGAGATAAAGTCGGATATTTGATTGCATTCATTTTCGAAAATGTCAATATATCAAAATCATCCGACCGAGGCAATATAGGCTCATCCAAAAAAAGTATCAAGCTCAGTTTTCACACTACTAGGAGCTTCAAAATTAGAAACAAATTTATAAAATTCTGCCATGCGATCTAATTTATTATTAGCATTTGACGTCTTGGTTTGACAAGAAGAAGTAGAAGACTGAGCTACAGACCCACTTGAATCATTCTTTTTTTGACAATCGTGCACCAACTTGCCACAAGCTTGATATATTTTGTCAATCTCACTTGTAGCGTTGTGATTAAAAATACAAGGATAATAATACTTAACTAACATCATCTTATTCCTTAGATCCAACACGCTGATAAAGCCAAAACTCCTTTAATATCGCTCCAATACTTGTTAAACTTTTCCCTCATACTGGTTGCCATCATTTGAACTTCCACATAAGGAGATTCAAGCCACTCATACAACGACAGTTTGTTATCACAAATATTTGCAAAGAAGAGATTAGCAGTTGGATACTTTGTTCCTGAAAACAATTCAGTAATCTAAAAAATAAAAAAAAAACTTTAACTTCTCACATATTTCTTTTGCTAATCTCAATCACCATCACTAGGTAAACATTTATATTGTGACTCCCTCTGTTTCAAATGCAAAAAAAGCATCCTTATAAATCAAAGCAGTACTAATCATCAAATACGTCGAATTTCACCTTGTTTTACAATCACAATCAATTTTCAATTGATGTGCAAAGAGCTCAAATTTTTTAGATCTCTTCGGCATGGCTGTCCAATAAGCAACACTATCACGAATTTTCTCATCACTACTACCAATAATGTTCAACCCATCCTTCACAATAAGATTTAATATATGTGCACAACACCTCATTTGAAAAAAATTACCATTCAGTACAAGAGGGTACAAAGCTAACTTAACACAATACTGATCATTGCATCATTTGTGGTGCAATTATCTACGGTCAAAATTAATAACTTATGATCAATATTCCAGTCCATCAAGCTGCTCAATAGAGTTTATGAAAGCACATTAGCAGTGTGTGGGCACAGCACATATATAAATCTGAGTTCATTCAATAACAAATTAAATCAACTAAAAGAATATCATTTTGGTATATTATGAAAACAAGTGAATGCAATGTTTTATTACACCTCATGATTCGACTCTGTAGGTTCCACGCATCATCTATGAAATGAGCAATGATAGCCATGAATCCTTTCTTTTGATTAGAAAAGGTCCACATGTCGGTAGTGATCGAAATTTGACTCTCAATCTTCTCAAGCTCAATCATATTTTTGACTCTCTCGTATTCATAGATTTTCAAAATGTCACTATTCAAAGTGTTGAGAGAAACAATGGTTGACGTACAAGATCTCTCGAAATCCAATGTGACCAACCATAGATAAAGGATACTCATGCAAAATCACCATTTTCAAAAGACTATATCTATACTTATCTGGATCGAAAGAGTAAGATCCATTGTGACCATGCCACTCATGTTATCCTTTTTGAAATTTAATGTTGCTTGGTGAGTATTATCCTTATAACGGAATACACATCTCTTCAAACGATCATGCAAATACATTGTACCACTTTTTGTTTCACCCTCTAACTGTTTCTTGCAATGATTGCATATAGCCTTCATTTTCTTACCGATTTTCTGTCTTTTGTAGTGCTCCCACACAATTGAAGTCAATTTCCTCTTTCCAAATGATAGTTCTCCAATGTCACGCTACTCGTCACTTAGATTTATTGTCCTTTTTTCTGCATTTGATAACGGTTCAGCTAGATATTCTTGCAGGACATTACTCTCCATTACATCGGTCGTGCTATCTTCCTCGCGTATTGGTCCTAATCCAATACTTCCAGCACTACTTGGGCCATACATCTGTGCAAATACAAACGACATTAAACACAATGAATTTTCTACTTTGACATGAAAATCATATTTATGTACATATAATAAACAAAAATGAAGCACGTGACTGAATTTGCGAAGTTTGCAAGCGAGTGAATTTTTCCTTTTTCTCATTTCCACATTAATGCAAAAATATAATACCTTGTCAATTAAACACTACCATGCATAAGCCTACTGTTAGTTTTTCACCTATAGATGGACCTAGACAAGTAAGATTCTGAATAACTGAAATTCCTTTAACTTTCTCTTTTTACAGCATATAATGTATCTTATCAAAGATGAAGCCTGTAAAATCAGCCAAATGAAACTAGATTTTCCATAACTCGAGAAAAGAGGATTGATAAAGATGAATTATATTAAACCTAAATAATGTGATCTATATGGAAATTCAACAATAGATATCAGAAATGACTGTTCAGAAACCACTGGAAAAACTACTAAAAGTGAAACACAAAAATATTTAAGGGAATCAAAGTCAATCAAATTCAAAACATAAACAAACTAGTACAGAAGCAATTACAATTTCCCTTCACTGTCACTACCATTCATAAAGAGAACAAAACATTGATTAACAAGTGCTGATCTTCATCTCTTTTTCACTATGTAATACGCTAGTCATTTTTCACTATAATCTCCCCCGATTCATGTGTATGTGCAAATTACAGGTTTACCATTGAAAATGCTAAGTAAAAAAATAGAAATAAAAAATACTAATCAATCTTAGCTTTTAGATATGATGAAATTCTTTAGATATTCTTTCACCTTAGGCTTGGAATCGGCGGGTGTTAGCGATAAAGGAAGATATGGAAACCCCATATGACCTGTAGGCAAAAATAAGCTCGACGATGACACAGCATATGGAGATCGAGGTGAAAAACTATGGTAGTGTTTAATTAAAAACTATTGAAGTTACAGCTACACAGCGAGTGAGAGAGAGGCGGCGGCTGACGGGTGTGAGAGTGAGACTGACTGTGAGAGGCAGAGACGAAAGGAAATGGTCCAAATGGAAGTGGAAATTGGAAAAGATTAGGGTTGGTACGTGCGTCTGTGACTGATTTGCTGCCTTTCCCTTTTGTAATTATGTATTTATTCATTTTTTAATTTCACGGGGTGGAGCAACCTCGCCCCATGACCTGAGAGCCCCACGCCTCGCCCAGCCCCGACAATCCATAGGGCGGGGCAGGGCAAATTACCATGACTAATATGAAACCAAAGATACTGATATTTTGGCAGCATTCCGAGTAACTCTTCAACCTGGAGTTCTGCCTGAAGAAGCAGGGGTTGCGGTAGCTGCCGAATCTTCTACTGGTACATGGACAACTATGTGGACCGATGGAACCTCCAGAGCGAGACAAGCAACTGTCCACTGAACACTTTCAAAATGCATACCAGACCGATGGTGAGTTCTGAAAGACAAAAGCCCCCTCAAGAAAAAGAATCCAAATCGAAGGCACTCTCACCCAAAGGCTAAGAGCTTCTCTTCTCTTAGTGATGCGACGCAAACAGACGAGGCAGCCCTCTTCGATTCGATAGGGCGTCTTTGGACAGAGGCGACGATGGGCTGAAGACCCTCGTTAACTCTCTCGAAATAACGGCATTGGAAGTGATTGTTGACCGGCGTAAGACCTTTCAGAAATGTGGCCTATACACGAGAAATTGAGCGGTAGCAGCTGCAGGGGCCTCGCGCTAGGTGAATCCATTTCTGAGCAAGGCATGGTTTCCTTATCAAAAGTTTTTGTTTGCAGCGAGGGTTCAAATTGCCATCGCTACTATCATCTAAGTAACAGCTTAACTCTAAGCCAACTTCAAAGTCAAGTGAGAATCAACTGCTTTTTCCCCCTTTTCCCCATTCTACTTGCTTCTCTAGCTCAATTTCTGGCACTATTTCCATCAATCCCCAAAATGAAAAAGTAGATTCATATACAACCTAGATTATTTGAGCTTGACAAAAGGGACTAAAAAGCATGGCGTTCCCTTGGTAAGAAAACGGGGCTTCTATTCGATGGAACTATTGAACCATGCGAGCTAGTTAGATTTGCATAGGTTTTGACTTTTCTAGAAAGGTATATTATTTTGATTGAGAAGGAGAAACCAATGAAATATAGTAGTTTATTTTTCTATCCCGATCTGGTTTTGGTTTACGGAGGTTCAGTGAGCACTATGTTGAATCTCCCTATCATTTTCTTCTCTTTCACTTTGGGTTATATGAGGTCTTGGTGTATCAGGGCTACTCATATATTTCTACAGAATTCGAATAGCGACGTAAGACCATGAGATTGGATCTTACATAGGCTACCCCTTAATGTGAATGAAAGAAGACTCTTTATAATCTCCTGGACCATTACATTTCGATTTTATGTAATGTGTATGGAACACGATATGGTACAGAAGGTCTGTCTCCCGTTAGAGTTAAGTAAAATATTCTATACTTAGTCACTGTTTTACGGCACTACCACTATATCTTTTTTTTTTCTTTTCTCTTTCTATGTCTAGTTTACTTATCTATTGAGATTTCATATTGATAGATATGATCTATATACCTTTTTGTTAGTAACTTCGAATCTTGAAAAGTTGTGTTACTTAAATTTTTTATGTATATGCACCCTTTATATATAGTGTGTATCTTATCACGCCAATCTATTCAATTCAAAGAAAAAACGTACAATGTCAATTGGGATACTTTTAAAACCACTAAAGAATAAAGAAGATTTGTCAATCTTGGAAAAACTTAATAAAGCATTTGCTTTAAGAAGTACGAAACAAGCTTTTTAGGTTATAGCACATAGCTTGAAAAGAAACCATTTATATTCTGCCAAGTGGGCCACTCTTAGCATAATCAACACGTAAATTATTTCATTAATTAGGTGATTAAATTCTACAAGGAGTGTGAGATTGATATACATTTGACACCTCTATATATATATACACACTAACGTATAATACTTATTATAGAGACAAAAATTACAAGTCAAGAATTTATAAAAAAAGTCCTCAAACTATTTAAATCTATAAATCTAAGTTCTCACACGTGCAAAATGTCATTGTAAAATCAGGAACGACTTTCTTGTGACTTAAATTTTTTATTATTATTATTATTATTATTATTATTATTATTTTTTTGGGGTTGAGGTTTGTTGCTCAAAATTTGGACCCCTTTTTGGATTGAAATATGAATGAATTAATGAAAATATTGGAAGACAATGTTAGATGAAATTGAAAGGCAAAATTGCGTTGTTTCTGATAACCATACGACATGCGTAAGCATAGGCTAAATGGTCATGTGTAAATACGGCATTGTCTGCAGAAAACAGAAGCAATTTTGGTTTTACTATGTGTACGCAAGGATATAACCTTATGTACGCATGCTTCAAAAATCTAGCTGTTGGGCTAATTTTTTTATTTGAATTTCTAGTGCCTTTTGGTGGAAAGATCCAACTTTTCACGGGTGTTTGGAGCCTTTTCGTGGTTTAATGTTAGAAATCTATAAATAAATTGTTCTAAAAAGCATGAATAGGCATGGAATTGAAACTTCAAACTTTGCGACCTTAAGCGAACCTAAGCAAGGCTTTGGTGTAAAAAAAATGCTTTTTTATTTATTTATAATATTATTTTAAATTTTTAATCATTTTAAAAATTATTTAATAATTAAAATAATACATATTAAACATCTAAAATTATAAAATACAATATTTACTTATTAACTCCTACCATTAGTCAATTATAGAATTTTCATGTTTTCGAAATCTAAAATTAGAATATTTTTCATAGTTTTAATTTTCAACTGAACATGTCCTACTTAACATATTTATAGGAACTTCATGCATGCTTTTGGAGTTTGTAATAAAATGAGTCTCATGATCATAATTACATAATGTAGATAATACAAAAATTTAAATCTTATTTAACTATTTAGATAAAGACATTTTTAACTTTTGTACTGATAAAATTTTTTAAAGACTTGAAATTAAAGATTGATGATTTTTTTTAAAAAATAATAAAAAAATAAGCTAAAGTAAAATTAAAAAATTAAAAAATAACTAATAAAGCGCGTCTATGGAATTCAAAAAAAAAAATAAAGGAAAAAATTCAGCCATTTAGAAATTTAAAAAAAAAAAAAAAGGCATCTAGGCGTAACGCAAGGCATTTTGCCTGAGAACTGCCTAGGCGAGCTTTTTAGAACATTGATACATAGGTGATAGATTTCTACAATATTAGAAATCATCATTCATTCTACACTTGAATCTTACTATTCTATATACATATTCAAATTTCAACAAGTTCAATTAGGAAGAATCAATTGTCTTTTTATGCTTCTTCATTGAAGGCTTGTCAAACTTCTAAACTATTTGATGGAAATCCTAAAAGTATACTAGAGGAGACAAATATCATTTTTAGGACAGTGTATCATATACGTGTTCGAACCTCATTCTTTTTTTCTTGTTTCCATCTACTTATTCTTCTCTTTGATATTTCCAACAAACTTATCAAAGATTTAATATGGGGAGTCAGTTTAATATTACTTATGCGCGAGCACCATCATGTGATGACCCAAATTCATAAAATTGAATAAGTTGAGGATTGAAGAATAGTTAGAGAGTTCAGTCCTAATTGATCCCCAAAAAAAATAACAAAAATAAAAAAATAAAATAAAAGAGAAGAAAATAGAGGTACAAGTATGAAGTAACTTCCTAGTGGTAAGTAACTTTGAATAAAAAATAATCAATATGCTAACTTTAGTAGTCAAGTGGTTTGTGTTTGATTCCATACCTAGAAAAACATGAATGTCAGACACTATTATTTCGACTAATACTAATCTAATTGAGATGTAGAATAACGTCTGATCAATTCATAAAAAATTTGGGCTGAAATCGTATAAGTCTCTTGACGTACTATTGTTGACCTTTACAATTTAGATTTTTTTTTTTTAAATTAGACTAAAATAAGTGTATAATGTAAATAATAATAGACTAATAAATGATTACTGATTTATCTACATGATAAACAGCCAATTAAAGGTTGAAAAGGTGGACATAAAAGTTGTGTATTAATTAATTTTGAGAAGATTTAGTCGAGTTGATATTAAAGTAAAGCAAAAAATGTGGCCCTCTACCTGCATAGGGATTGACTCAAAGAAAAGAGAGAACAAAAATTATAATTTGTTCGTGCACTTTTGTTAATTTTTTTCTTCCTCCACTTTGGGCATTTGCATGTGCATGAACCAACCAAAGGACAAATTTTTATGCTGAATGTCCTTTCTGACTATCGTGCGGGTGTGGTAGGTTAGTCCCGAAATTAAGAAAAGAAGGTATTGGGTAGTTTGATCTATGTATTTTCAATCTTGTTAGAGTGACAGACTCAATGATAAATTCAGTGATAAATGGGACATGTGTCAATACATGATTAGATAGTTTGACTATCTATCAGATTAACCCGCCACCTCCATCATTGTCACGTTGGCATTGGATCAAATCTATTTTCATTAAAAATTATGAAAATAGAACCCCTGTTTTCATTAGTCCCCAATTTTTGTTCCATTAATCTCATATCTCACGAATATTTCATGTTATTTTTGTTATAAATATGGATAAAGTCCTATTTACAGGGCCTTTTTCACAGGGGTCGGTTCCACGTGGGTCCCGATGCAATAAAAAATGAAAAAAATCCCGACCCCACCTTTTGTGAGAACCCTATAAGGATTTTGTAATGTGCTAGGCTGTAGCACTGTCCAATATAAATATTACGTATAAAATGTATGAACATGACGTGGTCCTAGCCATACAATTAAGAAGGATGACAGGACAATTCATGGCGGAGACGATGGAAGATATATGTGGTAAAACTATACAATGATAGTTTGAAGTCTTCTAATTGTTTATTTAGTTGTATTAGTGATTAAATCGTATAATTCTACTACATAAATGTATATAGCAACCACTTTTTTTTTTTTTTTTTCAAATCATTATATTAATTTATTTTTCCTCTCTTGAATTCTTATTTCGAATGTTGATTTTATCACGGCAAGCACAGAGCTGCTTTCAATATTTTTTATTTCCTAGAAAAAAAATTAAGTAGAAAAATACAATCTTTAAGGAAGCATACCACCACAATGAAATAAACAAAAATAAACTCTTAACTACTTGGAGAAAAGAAAATTTCTACTCTAATTTTC